CATAACAAAGGACCACAGATGGGGGAAGGGGAGGGGCTTAAACAACAGAAATTGGCAGTCTCACAGTTCTAGAGGATCCAAAATCTGAGCTCAAGGTGTCAGCAGGGTGGGTTCCCTCTGAGGCCCCTCTCCTGGGCTTACAGATGGCCGTCCCCTCCCCATGTCCTCACAACTCTGTGTGTGTTTGTGTCTTAATCTCCTCTCCCTATAAAGAGAGGAGAACTAGCCGTCCTGGCTTTGGGCTTACCCTAATGGCCTCATTTTAGCTTAATTACCTCTTTAAAGACCTGTCTACATATACAGTCACCTGGGGGTCAGGACTTCCATGTAAGGATAGGGTGAGGATTGCCCACTTCAGCCCACAACGATTTGTGAGGTCAGTGGGGACCTTCTCCCTTGTTGGCTCAAAAATACATAGAAGCCCATGTGTTTCCAAGGGATCCCAGGTGTCCTGTAAGGAGAGCCATCAGTCCTAAGCTAACCACCCAGATAAACGTGCCTGAAGAACCTGACTGACCAGCCTGGGGCGAGCGGCTTAAGGGCGACACTCATTTCCTCTTGGCATTCCTGAGATTCCTGTCTCAGTCTTGTGATGGCCTCTGAGTGGGGGAAACCTAGTGCTTACAGGTCTCTGTGTGAGTCCTGTCCCTGGTGCCGGTAAGGAGCGGGTCTCCACTAGGTGGCTGTGGGCCCCTGAGGGCTGGGGAAAGTCTCCCTGCCTGGGCACCCCTAGTCCCTTGGGTTATAAGTGTATTTGAGCCAGGCCTTGTTCGTAGCCTGATGCCACCTCTCTCTGACTTTTGGAGAGGGCTTTAAGCCGCATGAGCCCTCAATCCCATTTCCTTGTTCTGCTACAGTGCGTCTTAAGTGTGGCCAGTGTGGGCCAGGCTGCCCCAGAACACGGCCTTACTCTGATTGTCCTCCTGGCCGCCTGCTCAGAACTTGTTCTCTGCCTTCTGGGTACATGGGATGTGCCCAGCATTGCTAGAGGCTGCACCCACTTTTGGGGGTTCCCTAATGGCTGTTAGGATAAAATGACACCATTTTTAATGCAAGTTCAGGGTCTGGATTCATTGGCTTCCTGTCCTTTTCATGGGCTTTATCTTTTAGCCATGAAGCACGGGGGTGGCAGGAGAAATCTGTTCAACTCTTGCTGGAACCAATAGGAAAAAGCATGCATTTGATGGTCTACACACAAGTCATTTGGGTCTGCAGCTCCCCTCCTCCCCATCAGGGCATGAGGCTGGCCCACCTCCGTAGTGAGCATATCCGTAGTGTATGATTGGGCTTTACTATGTCTCCCACAGCATGGGGAGGGGTGGCCCAGTGTGCAGGCGGGATGACACTGCAGGGCGGCTTCCTCCTGCAGAGGACGGACAGCCAGCTCTGTAGCTGGGGCTTATTCTGTAAAGAGGTCAACAGATCTTGTGCAATATTTGCAGCTGGTAAGGGATTCCTAACACTCGGGAAGGAACACAGTCCTTGGCCTGTAAGCATCATGGCCCAGGATAAGGCATCTGCCCCCTTGGAGAGCATGTGTATGGTACCAAATGAAGCCAGACCTGTCACGAGCACAGTTGAGCAAGACCGAAGGAAATTCTCCAGGAACCAAACTGAGCGCGCAGATGAGCCAAATGCAATTTGGCTTCTAGCCTCAGGCAGCCCCAAGACACTAAATACGGCACCAGAGCCTTTATTCCCTGGCCTGCCTGCAGCCCTACCACTGATTAAAAACAACAGGGGAGGGGCGCCTGGGTGGCTCAGTGGGTTAAGCCTCTGCCTTCGGCTCAGGTAATGATCTCAGGGTCATGGGATCGAGCCCCACATCAGGCTCTCTGCTCGGCGGAGGGCCTGCTTCCCTTCCTCTCTCTCTCTGCCTATCTCTCTGCCTACTTGTGATCTCTGTCTGTCAAATAAATAAAATCTTAAAAAAAAAAAAAACGGGGAGCCTCCGATTATCTGTATTGGATGGAATATAGGCTCTGAAAGGATCCATAGAATTGCTCCTCATTCAAGTGCAAGACAGTGTGACTAGCCACAGGCCTGTAAGATCTCACATGCAGGGCTTGCGTTTAGAAGTATAAGGATTTTATGGATCACTGACTTCATGGGGTTTTGCTCTGTTTGCTTGGTCACTAAGCATCACAATTTCTACCATGAACTAGTACTGGAGAAAGAGGGCGGTGGAAGGAATTAAAGATCCTCTCTTGGCAGAAGGAACAGGAAGAGGTGAGAGTCATAGGAACAAAAAGAAGGACGGCGGGGGAAGGACCTGGGGAGTTCATCAATTCCCCTGGATCCCACTCGGCTGGGAAAGCTGGCTGAGAGAGTGGAAGGAAGTTATGGAAGGTGATGTCCCAGGGAAAAGGGGTGAAGGGTACATAGACCTGTCTCTGTTATCTTTTAGAGCTGCATGTGAATCCTCAATTATCTTGAAATTAAAACTTTGGTTTCAGAACAGGCAGCAGGTATGTGGTCCCTGGGCCTGCCCAGCACAGCACACCTGAACAATCCTTGAGTCCCTGTTGCCTTAGGAGGACAGGGTTTTGGGGGTGCCGTAGAGGCCAGGACTCTCTGCAGCCCCATGTCACTGGCTCACCAAATGGATGGGGGCTGTGTTGTTCTGAAAGCCATGTTACTGCCCTATGCCTGCTCCCACCTACACCTGCTCCCACCCTATACCTACTCCTGCCTTACACCTGCTCTAGGCCTACACCTGCTCCTGCCCTACACCTGCTCTAGGCCTACACTGGCTCAAAGCCTACACCTTCTCCCACCTACACCTGCTCTAAGCCTACACATGCTCCTGCCTACACCTGCTTCCCTCCTACACCTGCTCCCTCCTACACCTGCTCCCACCCTACACCTATTCCGCCCATACCTGCTCTAGGCCTACATCTGCTCCCACCCTACACCTGCTCCCACCCTAGAGATGGTGCTGCCCCAGAGATCCTCACCCTCACATCTTTGAAAAGAATACAGAAGTTTGGGATGCATCCACCTAGACAGAAGACACAGATACCAAGACCCCAACTCTTTAAAAGAAGGAAAATGACCCCAGCATAACTATATGATCTATAGTAGCAGTGTTTCCTCAGGCTTCCAGATTTGGAGTGAGATTTTGGAATGTGAACAGTAGCAAGGGTTGATCCAGTTTGGGGAAGACCCTAGCAAGGACAGCTGAGGTTCCAGAACCACTGGGTTTGAATGAATGAATGAATGAATGAAAAATGAACAAATGAACAGGAAGCCATCAGCACTGCATGCCCAATACTAGGCTAGAAAGGTCTTTTCACAGCTCTGTGATCTCTGGATCATTTCTGTTTTCCTCTAACTTGGGCCTCTGTGATCCAACAATGCTTTTCAGCAAATGCTTCCCGTCAGGTGGAAGACGAGGGCCCTGCCCCTGCTGATGACGTCTCTTACAAGCAGGGCGGGGACCTTCAAGAAGGAATCCCTTCTGGAATCCATTCTTGCTGGCAGGGATATCTCCATACTAATTCTGTAAAAAAGAAAATAGCCGTGTTTGGCAGACATCTCCCAAACCATGAATGCTAAAGCCTAACTAACTGTTTTTGACAGTGACGCCACTCAGTTCCTGGGGATACTTTTCACCACTAACCTGCTCAGCAGATCCCAGCAGACCCCCCTCCCCAAGGATCAGGAGCAGAGAGGCAGTGGCTCTTTCCGGAGGGGTTTCTCTAGAGCTGAGATGGGTCCCAAGGGACACCTGCTCCCCATTTTCTGGGATACATCACTCTCTCAGACTGCTGGAAACGTGACCCAAAAAAAGGTTCACCCTCTAAATGTCCAATGACATTTGCTGTCAATCTGAGGAGTGTTGACCAGGGGTCAGTGTTGGTCCGGCTGGGCAACAGTGTAGCAAATCCAAGGTGTCCTGAGACGTGAATGCAGAGGAATGTCATTTCTTCAGTTTCTTTACTACTAATCCTCCCTTTATGACTCCATTCACCGGATTTGGGGAAAAATAGCTAAATGTTTATTCTTTTTTTGTGCTTACTCCCATCTGATAATTTCCAAAATTGCTTTTGTCTGTCCCGGAGCAAAACAAAAAGGCTCTGTTTCTCGGCAGCTCCCTCCCCACCTGCCTCTCTCTGATGTCCTTCCCTGTGCAGGGAGCAAGACTGCTTGCCTGGGGAGCTTGTGCTGGGACTGAAGCCTTGAGGTGCTTGCCTGCGGAACTTTCCAGTAGACGGTGACCTCTGTCCCCGGGCTGCTGCTGGCATTTCCGACTCGAGTTGCTGGTGTGAAAGGCAGGCTGGTCCTCCTCCGTGGGGCAGAGCTCTCGTGGTGCCTCCTGGTGGCCTCAGTTGGTTCTTGAGAAGCTCTTAAGACTCCACTTCCTGTTGTAGGACTTTGGCTTGCAGACATCACAGGGCTGCGCCAACAGAGGCCAGTCCTGGGCTGCCCCAGGTGCACGGGGGAAACGTGGCCTTGGAAAGACCAAAGTAAGAGATGATCCTGCAAGACAAAGGGTCAAGAGGCCAGTGGTGTTCTTGCTGGAGAGCCATGGTTCTCAAAGTGTGGTCCCTGGAGCCTCACATCACCTGGGACTCAGCTAGACAGGCAGGCTCTCCCTCTCCTGGATCAGAAACTCCGAGGATGGGGGTTTTAAGAGGTTCTGCGGTGGACTCTGATGCACTCCAAAGTGTGAGAACAGGAGGAAAATGTGCCTTCCTGGGTAGTCATGAGCTGGGAAAATACGAACTTGTGGTCAATTACTTTGTCCCTTTGATTTTTGTTTTTAGGTTCAGAAACTATGTTTCATCAACTTGAACTACATAGCAAGGGGACAAGTTTTGATCAAACACTTTTCTGCCCCTTATGCTCTATTGAACATCACCAAGGTCAGGAACTGCGGTGTTAAACACTTTCCTACTGTTGGTTCAGACGTGGGGTCCCAGGGAGCTTCAGGCCTCTCCCAGGAAGGAAGGTGGATAACCCCAAGGGGCCAGGAATTCAGAGACATAGGACTGGGATGAAATCTATAAATCCATTACCAGAAAGTCCAAACACCCCATCTGTTATAAATGAACATGCCTTTTTAGTGACAGAAAGCCTCTCTTTGAGCCAGAGGGTGAGAGGGTCAGTGAGAGGAGGGCGTATTGTTGAAATCTATGTCTTTCCAAAGCACGGCTCTCAGTATTTTGGGCAGCTCCTGAAGGCTGGTCTCCACCCAAACCAAGGCCAGCCTGGAGCCTGGGTTTCCTGAGCAGGTTCAGCATGATTCCAGCGCCTTTGTCTCCAGGCTGGGAGCCCACTGTGGAGTAGAGATGCCTCTGAGTGAACCCAACTTACCCATCCCTGCTGTGTGCCCTGAACTGGGCCCCTGCTCCCAGAAGCCTCCATGACCCCTCAGTTGGAGAGGAGGGCATACCTCTGTGCCCATTTTCCTGGTGGGGACAGTGAGGCTGCAGCTATCCCTGACTCTGTGACATGAAGGATGTTCCCTAGCTCTGCACCATCAGGGAGTTCTTCCCAGCTCCTTCCAGAGGAGCTTTAGGTATAATTCTGCTTGAAAAAAAAAATAGTGTTTTCCAAGTCAGCTTCTGTATCTTAGGTGTTAGATATTTATGAGGATTTAGGAAATGGATGATCCTTCTGGAAACAGGTGCATCAACAATACCGTGTCCCTCCAGAACCAGATCAGTGGAGGACTTGAGGAGGCAGAGGGACCTGTCACCAGAAGATCCAAGATTGCTTTGCAAAAGAGACTGCCTTCTTTTTCTTTTTTTTAATTTTATTTTTTATAAACATATATTTTTTTCCCCAGGGGTACAGATCTGTGAATCGCTAGGTTTACACACTTCACCGCACTCACCATAGCACATAACCTCCCCAATGTCCATAATAACCCCACCCCCCTCCCAACCCCCTTCCCCCCAGCAACCCTCAGTTTGTTTTGTGAGATTAAGAGTCACTTATGGTTTATCTCCCTCCCAATCCCATCTTGCTTCATTTACTCTTCTCCTACCCCCTTAACCCCCATGTTGCATCTCCTCTCCCTCATATCAGGGAGATCATATGATAGTTGTCTTTCTCCGATTGACTTATTTCGCTAAGCATGATACCCTCTAGTTCCATCCACGTCGTCGCAAATGACAAGATTTCATTTCTTTTGATGGCTTCATAGTATTCCATTGTGTATATATACCACATCTTCTTTATCTATTCGTCTGTTGATGGACATCTAGGTTCTTTCCATAGTTTAGCTATTGTAGACACTGCTGCTATAAACATTCAGGTGCATGTGCCCCTTCGGATCACTACATTTGTATCTTTAGGGTAAATACCCAGCAGTGCAATTGCTGGGTCATAGGGTAGTTCTATTTTCAACATTTTGAGGAACCTCCATGCTGTTTTCCAGAGTGGTTGCACCAGCTTGCATTCCCACCAACAGTGTAGGAGGGTTCCCCTTTCTCCGCATCCTCGCCAGCATCTGTCATTTCCTGACTTGTTAATTTTAGCCATTCTGACTGGTGTGAGGTGGTATCTCACTGTGGTTTTGATTTGTATTTCCCTGATGCCGAGTGATATGGAGCACTTTTTCATGTGTCTGTTGGCCATCTGGATGTCTTCTTTGCAGAAATGTCTGTTCATGTCTTCTGCCCATTTCTTGATGGGATTATTTGTTCTTTGGGTGTTGAGTTTGCTAAGTTCTTTATAGATTCTGGACACTAGCCCTTTATCTGATATGTCGTTTGCAAATATCTTCTCCCATTCTGTCAGTTGTCTTTTGGTTTTGTTAACTGTTTCCTTTGCTGTGCAAAAGCTTTTGATTTTGATAAAATCCCAATAGTTCATTTTTGCCCTTGCTTCCCTTGCCTTTGGCGATGTTCCTAGGAAGATGTTGCTGCGGCTGAGGTCGAAGAGGTTTCTGCCTGTGCTCTCCTCAAGGATTTGGATGGATTCCTTTCTCACATTGAGGTCCTTCATCCATTTTGAGTCTATTTTCGTGTGTGGTGTAAGGAAATGATCCAATTTCATTTTTCTGCATGTGGCTGTCCAATTTTCCCAACACCATTTATTGAAGAGGCTGTCTTTTTTCCATTGGACATTCTTTCCTGCTTTGTCGAAGATTAGTTGACCATAGAGTTGAGGGTCTATTTCTGGGCTCTCTATTCTGTTCCATTGATCTATGTGTCTGTTTTTGTGCCAGTACCATGCTGTCTTGATGATGACAGCTTTGTAGTAGAGCTTGAAGTCCGGAATTGTGATGCCACCAACTTTGGCTTTCTTTTTCAATATTCCGTTGGCTATTCGCAGTCTTTTCTGGTTCCATATAAATTTTAGGATTATTTGTTCCATTTCTTTGAAAAAAATGGATGGGATTTTGATAGGGATTGCATTAAATGTGTAAATTGCTTTAGGTAGCATAGACATTTTCACAATATTTATTCTTCCAATCCAGGAGCATGGAACATTTTTCCATTTCTTTGTGTCTTCCTCAATTTCTTTCATGAGTACTTTATAGTTTTCTGTGTATAGATTCTTAGTCTCTTTCGTTAGGTTTATTCCTAGGTATCTTATAGTTTTGGGTGCAATTGTAAATGGGATTGACTCCTTAATTTCTCTTTCTTCTGTCTTGTTGTTGGTGTAGAGAAATGCAACTGATTTCTGTGCATTGATTTTATATCCTGACATTTTACTGAATTCCTGTACCAGTTCTAGCAGTTTTGGAGTGGAGTCTTTTGGGTTTTCCACATATAGTATCATATCATCTGCGAAGAGTGATAGTTTGACTTCTTCTCTGCCGATTTGGATGCCTTTAATTTCTTTTTGTTGTCTGATTGCTGAGGCTAGGACTTCTAGTACTATGTTGAATAGCAGTGATGATAACGGACATCCCTGCCGTGTTCCTGACCTTAGCGGAAATGCTTTCAGTTTTTCTCCATTGAGAATGATATTTGCGATGGGTTTTTCATAGATGGCTTTGATAATATTGAGGTATGTGCCCTCTATCCCTACACTTTGAAGAGTTTTGATCAGGAAGGGATGCTGTACTTTGTCAAATGCTTTTTCAGCATCTATGGAGAGTATCATATGGTTCTTGTTCTTTCTTTTATTAATGTGTTGTATCACATTGATTGATTTGCGGATGTTGAACCAACCTTGCAGCCCTGGAATAAATCCCACTTGGTCGTGGTGAATAATCCTTTTAATGTACTGTTGAATCCTATTGGCTAGTATTTTGGTGAGAATTTTTGCATCTGTGTTCATCAAGGATACTGGTCTGTAGTTCTCTTTTTTGATGGGATCCTTGTCTGGTTTTGGGATCAAGGTGATGCTGGCCTCATAAAATGAGTTTGGAAGTTTTCCTTCCATTTCTACTTTTTGGAACAGTTTCAGGAGAATAGGAATTAGTTCTTCCTTAAATGTTTGGTAGAATTCCCCTGGGAAGCCGTCTGGCCCTGGGCTTTTGTTTATTTGGAGATTTTTGATGACTGTTTCTATCTCCTTACTGGTTATGGGTCTGTTCAGGCTTTCTATTTCTTCCTGGTTCAGTTGTGGTAGTTTATATGTCTCTAGGAATGCATCCATTTCTTCCAGATTGTCAAATTTGTTGGCATAGAGTTGCTCATAATATGTTCTTATGATTGTCTGTATTTCTTTGGTGTTAGTTGTGATCTCTCCTCTTTCATTCATGGTTTTATTTATTTGGGTCCTTTCTCTTTTCTTTTTGATAAGTCTGGCCAGGGGTTTATCAATCTTATTAATTCTTTCAAAGAACCAGCTCCTAGTTTTGTTGATTTGTTCTATTGTTTTTTTGGTTTCTATTTCATCGATTTCTGCTCTGATCTTTATGATTTCTCTTCTCTTACTGGGTTTAGGGTTTCTTTCTTGTTCTTTTTCCAGCTCCTTTAGGTGTAGGGTTAGGTTGTGTAATTTAGACCTTTCTTGTTTCTTTAGAAAGGCTTGTACCACTATATATTTTCCTCTCAGGACTGCCTTTGTTGTGTCCCACAGATTTTGAACCGTTGTGTTTTCATTATCATTTGTTTCCATGAACTTTTTCAATTCTTCTTTAATTTTCTGGTTGACCCATTCATTCTTTAGAAGGATGCTGTTTAGTCTCCATGTATTTGGGTTCTTTCCAAATTTCCTCTTGTGATTGAGTTCTAGCTTCAGAGCATTGTGGTCTGAAAATATGCAGGGAATGATCCCAATCTTTTGATAACGGTTGAGACCTGATTTAGGACCGAGGATGTGATCTATTCTGGAGAATGTTCCATGGGCACTAGAAAAGAATGTGTATTCTGTTGCTTTGGGATGAAATGTTCTGAATATATCTGTGATATTCATCTGGTCCAGTGTGTCATTTAAGGCCTTTATTTCCTTGTTGATCTTTTGCTTGGATGATCTGTCCATTTCAGTGAGGGAGTGTTAAAGTCCCCTACTATTATTGTATGATTGTTGATGTGTTTCTTTGATTTTGTTATTAATTGGTTTATATAGGTGGCTGCTCCCACATTAGGGGCATAGATATTTACAATAGTTAGATCTTCTTGTTGGACAGATCCTTTGAGTATGATATAGTGTCCTTCCTCATCTCTTATTATAGTCTTTGGCTTAAAATCTAATTGATCTGATATAAGGATTGCCACTCCTGCTTTCTTCTGATGTCCATTAGCATGGTAAATTTTTTTCCACCCCCTCACTTTAAATCTGAAGGTGTCTTCGGGTTTCAAATGAGTTTCTTGTAGGCAACATATAGATGGGTTTTGCTTTTTTATCCATTCTGATACCCTGTGTCTTTTGATTGGGGCATTTAGCCCATTAACATTCAGGGTAACTATTGAGAGATATGAATTTAGTGCCATTGTATTGCCTGTAAGGTGATTGTTACTGTATATTGTTTCTGTTCCTTTCTGATCTACTAGTTTTAGGGTCTCTCTTTGCTTAGAGGACCCCTTTCAATATTTCCTGTAGAGCTGGTTTGGTGTTTGCAAATTCTTTCAGTTTTTGTTTGTCCTGGAAGCTTTTAATCTCTCCTTCTATTTTCAATGATAGCCTAGCTGGATATAGTATTCTTGGCTGCATGTTTTTCTCGTTTACTACTCTGAATATATCATGCCAGCTCTTTCTGGCCTGCCAGGTCTCTGTGGATAAGTCTGCTGCCAATCTAATATTTTTACCATTGTATGTTACAGACTTCTTTTCCCGGGATGCTTTCAGGATTTTCTCTTTGTTATTAAGACTTGTAAATTTGACTATTAGGTGACAGGGTATGGACCTATTCTTATTGATTTTGAGGGGGGTTCTCTGAACCTCCTGTATTTTGATGCTTGTTCCCTTTGCCATATTGGGGAAATTCTCTCCAATAATTCTCTCCAATATACCTTCTGCTCCCCTCTCTCTTTCTTCTTCTTCTGGAATCCCAATTATTCTAATGTTGTTTCGTCTTAAGGTGTCACTTATCTCTCGAATTCTGCCCTCGTGGTCCAGTAGCTGTTTGTCCCTCTTTTGCTCAGCTTCTTTATTCTCTGTCATTTGGTCTTCTATATCACTAATTCTTTCTTCTGCCTCATTTATCCTAGCAGTGAGAGCCTCCATTTTTGATTGCACCTCATTAATAGCTTTTTTGATTTCAACTTGATTAGATTTTAGTTCTTTTATTTCTCCAGAAAGGGCTTTTATATCTCCCGAGAGGGTTTCTCTAATATCTTCCATGCCTTTTTCGAGCCCGGCTAGAACCTTGAGAATCGTCATTCTGAACTCTAGATCTGACATATTACCAATGTCTGTATTGATTATGTCCCTAGCCTTTGGTACTGCCTCTTGTTCTTTTTTTTTGTGGTGAATTTTTCAGCCTTGTCATTTTGTCCAGATAAGAGTATATGAAGGAACAAGTAAAATACTAAAAGGGTGGCAACAACCCCAGGAAAATATGCTTTAGTCAAATCAGAAGAGATCCCAAATCGTGAGGGGCGAGGAAAGGGGATATAAAGAGGTTCAGAAAGAAAAAAAGAAAAAAGAAAAAAGAAACAAATAAAAAAAGAAAACCAATAATGAAAAAATATAAAACGGAAAAATATATATATATATATATTAGATAAACTAGTTAAAAAACGTTAAAAAAGAAAAGGGTAAAAGTTAAAAAAATTTAGCAGAAGAAGAGAAAAAAAATTGAAAAAGAAAAAAAATTAAATTAACTGCAAGGCTAAAGAATCATGGGGAGAAAGCCATGAGTTCCGTGCTTTGCTTTCTCCTCCTCTGGAATTCCGCTGCTCTCCTTGGTATTGAAACTGCACTCCTTGGTAGGTGAACTTGGTCCTGGCTGGGTTTCTTGTTGATCTTCTGGGGGAGGGCCCTGTTGTAGTGATTCTCAAGTGTCTTTGCCCCAGGCGGAGTTGCACCGCCCTTACCAGGGGCCAGGCTGAGTAGTCCGCTCGGGTTTGCTTTCGGGAGCTTTTGGTCCCTGAGCGCTTTCCGTAGAGTCCGGAGGACGGGAATGAAGATGGCAGCCTCCCAGTCTCCGGCCTGGAGGAGCCGAGAGTCTGGGGCCCCACTCCTCAGTGCGCCCTCAGCGAACAGCGCCCAATTGCTCCCGTCACCCTGGCCTCCGGCCGCGCTCCGAGCTGACTGAGCCCGCGACCGGTTCAAGGTAAGCCCGAGCTGTGAGCTCACTCCTCGGCTCTGTCTCTGTAGCCGGCTTCCCCGTTCTAACACCTGTAAGCTCTGCGACACTCAGACACCCCCGATCCTTCTGTGACCCTGCGGGACCTGAGGCCACGCTGACCCCGTGTGCGCTTCACCCCGGTTAAGCCTCTGGAGCGATGTCCCTCAGCGGAACAGACTTTTAAAAGTCCTGATTTTGTGCTCCGTTGCTCCGCTGCTTGCCGGGAGCCGGCCCCTCCCCCGGGGTCTATCTTCCCGTCGCTTTGGATTCACTTCTCCGCCAGTCCTACCTTTCAGAAAGTGGTTGATTTTCTGTTTCTAGAATTGCTGTTCTTCTTCTCTTTGATCTCCCGTTGGATTTGTAGGTGTTTGCAATCTTTAGATAAGCTATCTAGCTGATCTCCTGCTACCTGAAGTAGTCTCAGCTGCTACTTCTCCGCCATCTTGACTCCTCCCCCAAGAGACTGCCTTCTAAATGTGGTTTTCTTACAGATTGACGCTAAGACACCCACACTTCCTCCCCGGTCCTTCTGAGTTCTGAGCAAGCGTGCACTTTTGTACAATACGCAGCTTGAGTTAGGTGTGTCTTCTGAGCAAATAGTTGACCTCACCACCTCCCCAGCAGCTCCCCCCAACCCTTCCCAGCTCCTCCACCCCCTCACAAGCCTAGCAGACTCAGGTCCACCAACTTTGGCTCCAAGACTAGGTAGAGGGGACATATTCTGAGGACAAGAAGCTTCCAGATGGTCAAAGAGTTTACTGTGCTGCTCAGTTCCCAAGAAACTGAGTACTTTCTAGCACCCAAGCCTCAGGATCTGAGCGCAGGCCCCAGTACCCACCGGTGGCCTCCCTTACCTGCTACACCTACTTCCTTTCGGGGGTGGGACCCTGGGACCCCAGCCTGTCGGGGCCTCAGTGTGAAGAGAGTTGCCAGGCACAACCTCCGGTCACAGGATGTCCCCTGGCACCCTGCCCTCACCCTGTGCACTGCTGGCAGAGAAGATAGACTTAGCTCTTCCTGTAAAAGGCCCCCTCCGTGAAAACACCACTTCTTCAGAAAACGATGTGTTCTCAAAATCTGTCCGTGCCTGTTCTCTGCATTGTCACTGGGATGTAACCGTGGGTAGCAGGGGGATTTATTTTACTCTGCATTGAGCCATTTATTATATTAAAACAAACATATACTACTTAATAGGACAAAAGTGCACACATTTTAAAAATAAAATCAAGACAATTTCAGCTTCTCGTGGACTCTCCCTGGTTATTTCCGTAGCTCCTGGCATCACTCTCAGGCTCGGCCGTTGGGATATTGTGAGTGGAAAATGTCAGAGATGGAAGCCTACAGGGACCAAATACACACGGGAACCACCCTCCCTCCTTTAAGACCCCATTTATTAAGCCAAACACAAATGAACCTGCTGACACTGGCCTCCCCCTCCTCCCCTCACCTGCCCCTCACTCCCTGCTCCTTCTTATCCTCAGGAAAGAGCTATGGGGATGTCTTCATGGCCTTGTCACCATCCTGGTGGGAAAACAAAGTTCCAGCTGCTGTCTTGAATTTATCAGACTGCAAATCATTTTCTGCTTCTGAGGCTTTTCTCTCCAGGAAGGTGGAAGGCTTAAAATCAACCAGGACAGGAAGATGCCCCCTTGCAGCCAAGTTCTTGGCCTCCCTTGTGGAGACCAGCGGGGCCGGTGGAGCGGTGATGCTCAGCCACAGAAGGCCTGTACCTCTGTGCAGGCTGGCCTACGAGAATGTTCCCTGGCCCGCCCCTTGCCCCTCTTCTCTACAGCTAATTCTTGGGAAACACCCTTTAGAACCACCATGGTAACTGTCACTCCTCAAAGTGTGGCCCCAGAGCCAGCGTCAGCATCACCTGGCAGCTTGCCAGAAATTCAGTGTCAGACCCTACCCTAGGATGACTGAATTGGAGTCTTAATTTCAATGAGGACTTGGGTACCTGTTAAAGTTTGCAAAGCATTGCTTCAAACCACGCTCCTGGAGGATGAGTGTTTCTTTTTTTTTTTTTTTTTTTTTCCCCTGGGTATTCCCAGCCCCTAGTAAAGGAATGAGTGAGGCTGGGATCTGGGGTCGGTGCAAGCACTCTAGCTGGAGAGAAAACCTCCATCCTGCACATGCGTGCCTATCAGAGTGCATATCTACTTACCCACCAGGGGTTACTGGGCACTTCGAAGAAAAATATATCAGCAGCTCTGACAACCCGCAAGGTTCTGGAATCTCTCGAAGGTATCCCTTTCATTTTGGTGCCCAGGTCATCTAAGTGGAATTCAAACTCAGATTAGCAAAAGGAGGGTTTGGGCAGGTGTGTTTGCACACGCCCTTCCCAGAAAGAGGGAGGCGTGGAGAATGACTTTTCTGCCCAGGCATTGACTCACCTTAGGGAACAGACCGCGTCTTGGCCGTCTGAGTCCAGACTTGGAGTTCAGTTTTCTGTTAACACCTTTTCCATCCTTCTGGTGTTTTGTTAGAAGTTCTTAAACCTACGAGCCTTTTCTTCCCTGAAAGCCAGGACAGATACTCATGAGACGGGGAAAAGTGGTGGTGTGCTTGGTCATCTGCAGACTCACCTCTATGCGCACTCCTGATTATTTGCGGCATGAAGCCCCGCTCTCTGGGACGAGCGTGGACGGCCTTGGACAGTTTAGCCGAAGGATGACATATAAGACAGATTAGCACATCTGGTAAACGCCCCGCATTGGGTGATGAGGAACGTTTTCATTTAAGCAGATGTAACAAAATCCTCCTCACTCCCCAAATGAAATATTCCATAAAGAAGAGCGACTTCATGCCTTGATCACCATTGCACTGATTTCACATTGGTGCCCTCCAGTGAGGGCGGGGGTGAGGGGGGTTCAGCTTGATAGAAAAGTGGTATGGCCAGGAGTCTCCCGGAAAATGTCTTATAAAATACACACATGGGTAAGGCAATGCAAAGAGCCCATTTGTATGTGTCAGGTTACTGATAGAGCCCTGAGTGCTTCCCCAGCCAGGGCAGGAGTTGGCGGAGTGCAAAGGGGCCCCAGAAATCCTGCAAACCGAGAGGTGGGTGGGGACTCCCGTTCACATTCACATTCCTCTGATCTCTTCCCTCCCCCAATGTGGTCCCAAAGTATTTTTTCCTGAAATGTGAGTTTTCAGGGCAGAGTGGAGGCCAGGGCGGGGGGCAGGGGGCGGGGAGATATTTTTCTGTGTTCCCTCATGGAGGCGGAGATTCAGCTCTGCTCCTTCTTACCAGCCCCACCAGCCCGGGAGGGACTCACTCTGAGCTTGACACAGCCCAGTCCTGCCTTGGAAACATCTGCCTCTTGCCCTTTGTCTTCCCAAATGCCCCGGGGTACCACGTGGGCCTGCACAGCTCTGGGGTCCATTGTGTCTCCCAGACCAGAGCAACAGAGGTGAACCCAGGAACGTACCCCACTTCATTTGTTACTAAAGCTCACTCTAGGGTCCTGAGTGAGGGGTGGCTGAGCTAGGTCTCCTGTGATGCTTTTGTTTTCCAAAGGAGAAAGGGGGCTTGCTCAAGGTCAAAGGGGTGCTCCCTCCCGTATCTCACTTTTCCTCTACCTTTCCCTTTCTTCTGCCTGCCCCCACCTTCACAGCGCACTCAGGCAGAGGCTTTGAAGGGCACAAAGTGCTTCCCTCGGGACAAGGGACCCCTGGGGCAAAGTCTCTGTGTTTTGGGGTTATTCTGTCCTGGGGGTGAGGCACAGCCTTTACATTCCACCTTCTATACCAGGCCTCTCCTGCTTGGGCTTCACCCCAACCTCCACAGAAGACCCAGGTCACTGAGATGGCGACTGACTCTGCACCGGCCTAGCTCAGCCGCTCTTGGTAAGAATGTGGGTCACATGTCCACCACCCTTGAAGCCAGCAGCCCCAGGTTCTTCCCACAAAGCCACAAGCAAGTGCCCCTTCCCCTGCCATGTGGTTGGGGCCCCAGGGTTGTGCCTGCTTCCTGCAGCCTTGCCACCCCGTTAATCTTTAATCTAGATCTCACTGACCCCCCTGAGGTCATCCCGAGACTCTGGCCTTAGCCACTAGCTTTGCAGAGGTCGTGAACTTCCCATTTCTCTCCCTCATGACCTTGGGCCAGAGCTGGCCTCCGACCACACGTTTGGACCACACAGCTGTGATTCCTTTACCACCGTTTGTCCTCATTCCAGGCTTGGCGGATGTGGGTTCTAGGTCTGGCCCCTCATGCCCACTGCCCCACGCCCACCAGACATTCTTGTGACAGGACCCTTCTGTCTGGAGTATGGGCTGGAAAACCTTAAGGTTGAGAAGTGATGGCTTCTTCCAAAATCAGAAAACAAGTAGAAAGAATGAACAAGAAAACCCTTTTCCTTTCATATCTGCTTCATGGTGGAGAGATGGCATTTTCACGTGTGAGGTTGGTGCATGTGGTGTGTGCATGTGAGTGAGTGTGCATGTTTGTGTGTGAGAGTGTGTGAAGGTGATCTGTGTGGTGTATGTGTGTGAATGTGTGTATGAGTATGTGTGTGATGTGGGGGAGTATGACACAGAGGGCTTTGAAGACAAGGTAGGATTTCAGAAACTATTTGCAGGAAGAATTACATAGTTGGGGAGAGGGCAGGGAGAGAGTGAGTGACAAAAAGAGGGAGGGAGGGACAGAGACTGAGGGAAGAGTGGGACAGGTATGCCCACATGAGACTCTTTTCAGGGCAGAGTTGATTCAGAATTCCCACCTCCTGGTACAATGAATCTGTCAAGCCAGGACTTCTTCTGGTTAAGGTCCCATGCTGGTTAAGGACAGGTGTGGACCTCTGGACTCACCTACCAATAAGCTGTGCCAGGCTTCTAAACAGTAACAGTATGTCTCCAGGGCCCTGAGTCTTAGGGTGGAACTAGCATTGACTTGGTCCTCCCTCCCCGGACTGTGAGCTCCTCCAGGAGCAGGTAATCCCTAGGGGCTTACACTCTGGGTTTTGTCTGTGTCCAGTGAATCCATGTGGTTAAAGGGGTATCTTGCTGTCCGGCAGGCTCTCTCCCTCTCGCTTGGGCTGGCCAGAGTGGGACTGCATCCCTTTCCTTTCTATCTACCTGACTCCTGCCACCCCCCAAGCCTTGAGGCTGATGGGTACAGCACAGATCTGACTGAATATCTAGGAGCTAGAGGGGAATCCTGTCACAGGTTCCCCAGCATCTTAAAATACTGGAACTTCTTCATTTAAAAAGCCATCTGGCTAGTTCTGACACTCACACTCCATCCTGGGCCTTGGATTCTCCCTCCCTCACTCGCCTGACTGTGAGCCTGACACGCCTGCCTGTTCTCAATGCAGAGGACCGAGCTTTAGCTTTTTTCTCTTCATCTTCTGGTAATCCACAACCCCAAACAAAGACAAGACTAAGGGGAATTCTGCTCTCAGCCGCGCATTTAAAAATATTCACCCAGATCCATTTACTCACAGATGCCCTGACACTCAAATAAGACCCCACGTGATTTCAGGTCCACAACTACCCTGTCTGCACTGCTTGTGCCCAAGGACTGGCCCCTCGCCTTCTCTTTCCTGTGTTGCTCCATGATTCATGCAGATGAGTCCTACCGGAACCTCAGAGTCCATGAGACTCTTCAGCTTTCCATCTCCATTTGCTGGGGTGTCAGATTCTGAGAACAAGGGGTCCCGTGTCTCTGGGGGTCCAACTGCTACAGTCACCTACTCCACCCAAGCATGGAGCGCATGGAGATGAAGGAAGGAGGACAGAGTATGGAGCACAATGGGTTGAGTGAGGCTCCCGGAGCTGGGAGGCTGGAGTGTGGGGTGGGAGGACCAAGCACAGAGCGTGGAGCGTGGGAGGTGGGGCACAGGCTCTGCACAGGTGTTTCTGGCAGAACATCTTCCTTCTTTCCTCTGCGCCTCAGTGAGGGTGGTGTTAGAGACCCCCGACACACATGGCTTTCATCTGGAGGCTGCCTCAGGGGAGGCCCCTGATCATGAGCAGTCCCTTCCATCACCTGCCATACCCCGCCCTACACTCCCTGCCATGAGCAAGTGGGATTTTCCTATTTCCCCATTTCAGGGGATGGATCTGGTCAGACAGAAATGTCAGGGATGATCTAGAAAGAGGGCTGGACTGGAGATCAAGAGAACTGGATCCAGGTGCAGCTCAGGCACAGGCCAGTGCACCAACCCTCTCCCAGTCACCTCGTTTTGGGGGCTCTGTTTCCTCATTTGGCTAATAATAGTTTGAAATAACTGGATGGCTCTGAAAGTATCTTCAATATGCAGTAAAAGGCGTTTTTTACCAAGTTGTGCCTGTTGAAAATCCGGGACTGCTTCCAGCTTTTCCATGACCTCCCTGAAGTCCTACTGAGATGCTAGAAGGTTCTAGAACTTTCCCCTTTGACTCTGGTGAACTCAACTCCCCTGATGTCACGATGTCCCCCTGACTTTGGGTGATTCTTTGGCATATGGAATGTTCCGGCATCTGCTGTTTTTACTGCAGCTGAGTTGCTCTGTGGTGCACAAGCAGCGTATTGTTTTGTTCTTGACTCTTGAATCACAGTCAAGAGTTTCAAATGGGATAAAATAAGATAGTCCCAAGGGGGCTGTTGTTCAGCACCAACACCCTCAAGCCTCTGGGTGTGTCTGTCATCGGTTCTCCTATTGACGTCACGGGCTGCCACCCCAGCATGTATTCTCTGCCTCGCTCCGGGAGGGGGTCTTACAACTGAACAGGTGGGAGTCTCCACAGAGCTGCCCCTCCAGTGCTTTCCGTCTCTACAAATTTTAATTGGGTACCCAGAGGCCCAAAGATGATTTCTTCTCAGTAATGAAAGAACCTCTAAAGGGACAGGCCTCCCCACCCCGGGAGCCGAATGAACAAGATTGTGAAAGAACTCTTTTAGGAACAAAAGTCAGTGTACTGTGATCCCCAGGGATAAAGAAAAGAAGTTTAGGGTTATCCCTGCGTATGGAAGACAGCAAGACAAGTCCCCTCTGTCAGGGAATCATCATGCATCCTGCTTTAGGAACTGACCAGCAACTCACTTTCCATCAACAGATGGTTCAAACAAACCCAGAGATTAGGTCTAGGGAAAATCATTTTGAAATATAAGTCACAGTAAGTGAGAAATTCTATGTGAAAGTGATTCACACAGTACTCAACATGTGGTAGGAATCCCATAAATATTAATTTTTTCTCCCATGTAAAAATTATTAAATGAGGCACTTTGTAGCATAAAGTGGCCCAGTAGGGAAGTGAAAGGTTGTGTGGGGTATTTGTTTCCCAAGACGGGAACAGATAGGACTGCTACTCCACAGGCTTCTTTGCAATGTGACCCTGTTGTGCCCCTGTTATGAAAGAGTCCCTTTCTCCTTCCCTTGAATCTGGGTGGGCCCTGTGAGCTTTCTTGACCAAGACAATATGGTAGAAATAAGATCATGTAACTTCCAAGCCTGAACCTAAAACGTTTCCAGTTTCTACCTTTGACTCTTTGAGAAACCTCACTTTCCTGAGACCACCATGCTGCGAGGAAGCCCAAGCTAACCAGCAAGAAAGAGCAGCCACGTGGTGGAGGACCAGGTGCCTGACCTGGGATTGAAGCCCACTAAGACCTTCCAACCCATCCCAGGTACCCACTAAGTCCAGCCTAACCACTTATCCTGGCCAATATCACAGGACACAGACTAACCTCATCAGAATCTCTGGCCCACATGATCAAGAATAAACAGAATGATGATTGTTTGAAGCCATTAAATTTATTACAGGTGGAATGTGACTGAAAGCAGGTCACATCTAACTGCTCATCTATCCCTAACATTCCAGCAACCATGGGCAGGGTGTCCAAGGACTGACCCTAGGGAAGACACTTTGGCACATCAGTAAGTCTGGAAGCAGGCAAGCGAGGTTGGTAAGACACCAATACTATACAGTCAGGCCACAGGCTCCTTCCTGTTTCCCCATCTGATTCCTTTTTGTTTTTAAAGATCTATTTATTTATTTTAGAGGGGGAGGGACAGAGGGAGAGAAAGAATCTCAAGTAGACTCCTCGGCGAGTGTGGAACCTGATGTGGGGCTCAATCCAATGACCCTGGGATCATGACCTGAGCAGAAACCAAGAGTCAGATGCTCAACCACATGGGCCACCCAGGCACCCCCCTCCTCTGGTTTTTAGGTGTGGCATTGGGCCCCACGCTCCCTGGATGGGTCCACCACCTATGTAATCTGCTCACACTTCCAGGCAGGAAGGAAGAGAGGAAAAAGGACAACTCTCTAAGGAAAATTCCAGTTCAGTCTGTCCCTTTTCATCAGGAAAATAACTGCTTTGCTGGAAGCTTCACCTGACACACTGCTGATGAGGTCTTCTGGGCCACAATGAGGTGGGGAATCTATCTTTAGCAGGAGGAGGTCCTCCAGTATAAATTGGCTTCTCCTGGTCAGGAAAAGGGCACGACCCTGTGGCAGGTATTACCAGGTATCTACTGGGGAGACAATCGGCAGCGTCCACAGCAATGAGAAGGTTAGTGGGCTGAAAAGATCTTTGGACAAGATGAAATATGGTAGCACATGCTGGATGGGCATTGACATGTGCTTCTCTCTCTCCTGGGTCCTTCTGTATGGAAGGAGAAGATTACGCATGTAAATATCCTACACTACATGTAATCTATATATGCTAGAACATATTTTATATAATTCCATACTAGGATATACATACCTTATAGAATATAATATATAAGATATTATATATCTTGTATATATATATAACACACACATACACACACACACTAATTACAATTTAATGTTTGGACTTTGATGTTTGAATTTGAAGCTGATTCTCTGACTTGGCTTGCCCAACATCCTCTCCAGCTCCAGTTAATACGTCTTTTTGCTCCACAGAGGCTCAAAGCTAAAAACTATCCTTCTCGGACACCCTTGCAGCAGGGGTTCTGCTGTAACTTAGTCTGTGCTGATCAGGAACACTCCAACACAAACATCAAATTATAGCTGAATGTCTGAAACTAATATCATGTTATATGTCAATGATACCCACCCAAAAAAGGGAGTCCTCTTTTGGAGAGTGCTTTTGCAAGTGAGTTGAGTGGGAGGAAGGCAGGTCATGAGGCACCCCAAGCAGCACTGGAACCAAGGCTCCCCACTTGACAGACAGCTTGCTGGGCAGCTTCCTGTCGTAGGAGCTGCTCCTGGAAGCTCATCTGTCATTATATTCTCCAGAACCCTCATAAGTGTGCTGTCCATTCAACAACAGAAGTAAATCCTTTCTAAGCCAGCTGGAGTGACTCTGCTCTCTGTAATGAGGCTTGATCACAGGCTCCCAGAGCCCTCAATCTATCTCAGCATCCCCCACCCCCCAGCTGTGTGACAGGGGACAAGTTAGTTCATCTCTCCAATCCTCAATGTCTTTTTTTTCAAATGGAGCTCCTGCCTGGGTGGATTGTAAAAATGCATGCAATGCTCTGCCTCACACCCAAGCCAGAGTGAATGTCCCACGTTAGCCCCTAGGACCTTAACTCCGAAGCTTTAGAGAAAGTGCAGTGGGAAGTGGTGCTGAATGAGGGATGTGACTAGAGACACGTCCTGATGGAAGCTGATGGAAGCTGATGGCCTCTTGGAATACAGGGTTTGAGGGAAGGTGGCGCACAGGCACCCAAACTCGGAGCCCATGTTCATATCTGTCTCCTCGAGTAACCTGTAAGCCTCTGGGTCTTGGGCTGAGTTTCAGGCTATTTGTGTTTCTTTTAGTTTTTACTATAAAATCTGATATAGAGGAGTCTGAGTACGCCCTGGATAGAAACCTCCAAATGCTGAGAATGGTCTTGGAACAAGTACCCAGGCAATTACCATCCATGAAACACCATTCGTGCATCCTCGCTCTACCAACTGCAACTGTGGTGGTGATTGGGACAGTCACTGCCATTGTTTTCATAGAGTTTCCAATCTGGCACAGGAAACAGACCCTGGGAATTTCACACATGCTGATGGACATGTGTTAGGACTGATGTCACAGAAGAAGGGAGTGCAGTGGTGGTGAGCCCTCAGTCTGACTCCAGGGAGGGTTCTCCTGAAGAAGTCACATCTAGACTGAAGCCTGGTGGTGGCCAAGACCCTGTGGTACCAAATGTAGTTCTTGTAGGGAACAGAAAGGAAGTCCATGCTGCTGAAGGCACTAGGAAGCCAAGGCAGTCTCCAGAGGAACAAGGCTGTGTGCTCAAGGTTGCCCTGGCAGCCTGTGCAGGACACAGAGGGAAGTGGAAGACAAGGGTTGGGTCATGGACCTGGGCCACCTCAGTGGGAATGGAAAAGCAGGGGAAAGATATTTTTTGCAGAGAACCTACAGATTTTGTTAAATATCCATATTTCCTTCTTGTGGATCTCCTCAGAAGATAAAGAAAGGTAAATGTAATCCTTTCATTAGCCCAACTTCTCCTTGGGGAAGGTTTCATGACCCAACTGTGGGTTTGAACTGCACCCCATGTGTGCCTAACAACACCTTGGACCCCACTGTTATTTGGTTGTTAATCTGTCTTAATCCCCAGAGAGACCTCAGTGGAGAAAGGATGCCTTCATCTCTGCACTATGATGCTGAATAACCAGTGTCCAGTAATTGGCTG